TTCTAAAATCGGAAACAATGTAACGATGTCCATTCTCTCCACTCCCCTTCAATATAGTTCTGGAATTTCTAGCCAGAGCAATAAGGCAAGAAAAGAACATAAAAGGGATTCACATAGGGAAAGAAATCAAACTATCTCTATTTGCAAATGACATGATCTTATACCTGAAGGACCAAAAAAACTCTATCTCCAAGCTCCTAGAACTGATCAACCACTTTGGCAAAGTAGTAGGATATAAAATTAACCCACAAAAATCAGGAGCCTTTCTGCATGTCAACAATGTACAAGTAGAAAGGAAATAGGATAACAACTCCATTTGCAATACCCTCAAAAAAAAAAAAACTAGGAATTAACATAACCAAAGATGTAAAAGATCTTTATAGCAAAAACTATAAAAATCTGAAGAAATAAATCAAAGAAAGGCTGGGAAGGTGGCTCAGTGGTAGAGCGCTTGCCTTGCATGCATGAGGCCTTGGGTTCGATTCCTCAGCACCACATAAGCAAAAAAAAACAGGAAGTGGCGCTGTGGCTCAAGTGATAGAATGCTAGCCTTGAGCTGAAGAACTGAGGGACAGCACTCAGGTCCATAGTTCAGGCCCCATGACCAGACCAGAAAAAGGAAAGGAAAGGAAAGGAAAGGGGAAAGGGGAAACAGGAAAGGGGAAAGGAATCATAAAGGACACCAGAAAATGAAAAAACTTTCCTTTTCATGGATAGGTAGAATCAATATTGTGAAAATCGCCATACTCCAAATATGACATACAAATTCAATGTAATCCCTATCAAAATCCCAATGACGTTTTTACTGAGATAGAGAAAACAATCCGGGGCTGGGAATGTGGCTTAGTGGTAGAGTGCTTGCCTAACATACATGAGCCCCTCCCTACCCCTCCCCCCTGCCCCCGTCCCCCTAGGTTTGATTCCTCAGTACCACACAAACAGAAAAAGCCAGATGCAGAACTGTGGCTCAAATGGTAGAGTCCTAGCCTTGAGCAAAAGAAGCTCAGGAACAGTGCCCAGGCCCTGAGTTCAAGCCAGGACTGGCAAAAGAGAGAGAGAGAGAAAACAATCCAAAAATTCATATCGAACAACAAAAGACCTAGAATAGTCAAAGCAATTCTAGGCAAAAAGAAAAAAAGCAATGCATCACAATACCAGACCTCAAACTGTACTACAGAGCCATATTAACAAAAATAGCTTGTTATTGGCACAAAACTATATAGAAAGATCATGGAATAGATTAGAAGACCCAGAAATAAAGCCATATACTTACAGCTATCTGATATTTGATAAGGGAGCCAAATATATACAGTGGGGGAAAAAATAGCCTCTTCAACAATTGGTGTTGGGAACACTGGACAGCCATATGCAGAAAACTAAAAGTAGATTCCTGCTTGTCACTATGCACTAATATCAGTTAAAGTTGGACCAAAGACCTCAATGTCCAACCCAAAACTCCGAAACTACAGCAAGAGTGAGTAGAAGCATTAGACTTACAGTCATAGGCAGGAACTACGTGAATAAAGTTCTAGGGTACAATAGATAGGAGGGAGATTACACACACAAGTGGAACTACTTAAAATAAAAAATTTCTGCACAGCCAAGGACATAGTTACTAAACTAGAAAGACAGACAACCAACTGGGAAAAGATCTTTACCAGCAATATATCAGACAAAAGCCTAATATCCAATATATACTGGAACTCAAGAATCTAACCCCTCTCAAACCTAATAAACCAATCACTAAACGGGCAAGGGAGCTAAGGAGAGATATCGCAGATGAAGGAAGAATAGCAAAGAAATACATGAAGAAATGTTCATCATCCCTAGACACAAAAGAAATGCAAATCAAAACAACCTTAAGATTCCACTCACCCCAATAAGATTGGCCAACATTGTGAACTCAAACCACAACAAATGCTGGTGGGGATGTGGGGGAAAAGGAACCTTACTGCGGTGTTGGTGGGAATATAACTAGTACAACCACTCTGGAAAGCAGTCTGGAGGATCTTCAAAAAACTAAAACATAGACCTTACCTATGACCCAGCCATACCACTTCTGGGCATCTACCCTGAACGTCATGAACCAGGATCTAATAAGGACACCTGAACATCCATGTTCATTGCACTATTCACAATAGCCAAAATATGGAAACAACCCAGATGCCCTACAATAGATGAGTGGATCCAAGAAACGTGGTACCTATTCCCAATGGAATTTTACACAGCCAATAGAAAGAATAAAACAATGTCATTTGCAGGAAAATAGATGGAACTAAAACAAATCGTGATAAGGGAGGTAAGCCAAGCTCAGTGAGTCAAACAGCGCATGGTCTCCCTGATATGTGGAAGTTAGATCTAAAACACACAGGGATATGACAATTATACAGGATGCTAGATACTCATACACAGTGAGACCAAAAGAAGATAGCTTTAGGAGAGAATCACAAAGGTGTAATACTGAAATGCCTCTTTGTATGTATATAAAATAATATACATGCTGAAATGAATTCCAAAGATATGGAAGCAAAGGACTTTTTTCTTAATTTGTTCTTTCTTTTTCAGATGATTCTGTATTCTTAACCTATGTACGGTGTGTCTGTTCACATGAATATCTATGGGAGGACACAGAACCCAAGGGAAAAGGGTGAGAAAGTGCAGTAGTGGGGTTCACTGGACACTGATGAAAGCCAACTATATAACTCATGGGTGGAGATGGGAGGGAGGGACTGGGAGAGAGTGAGGGAACAGAAGATACCGTATGAAAAGAAATGCAGTCATTACCTGACTCATGTAGTTCAAGATACTGATTTTTCTTTCCTTTTTTTTGGCAGTACTGGGGTTGAACTCAGGACCTTGAACTTGCTAGACAGGCACTTCACCACTTGACTCACACCCATAGCCTTTTTTGCTTTTCTTATCTTTTGAATAGGGTCTTCCATTTTGTCCAGGCCAAGTTAGATCACTATTCACCTATTTATGCTTCCTACTACATCCCCAGATCTAGCCTTTTATTGGTTGAGATAGTGGTTTCATTAACTTTTTTCCCAGACTGAGGGACAAGCGCCCAGGCCCAGAGTTCAAGCCCCACGACCGACAAAAAAAAAAAATCAAATGCAGTACAATCAAGAGACAAAAACTATATCAACCATTCAAACAACAACAAAAAAATTTAATGTAAAGAATCATTAAAGGCTGGGCATTGGTGCCTCACACCTATAATCCTAGCTACTACTCTAGAGGGTGAGATCTAAGGATTGCAGTTTTAAAAGTCCATGAGACTCTTATCTCCAATTAACCACCAGAAAACTAGAAGTGACTCTGTGGCTCAAAGTGTTACAGCACTAGCCTTGAGCAAAAGAGCTTCAGGGACAGTGCCCAGGCCCTGAGTTCAAGCCCCATGACCAATGAGAGAGAGACAGAGAGAGAGACAGAGAGAGAGAGGAGACAGGAGAGAAACAGGAGAGACAGGAGAGAGATAGGAGAGACAGGAGAGACAGGAGAGAGAGAAGAGAGAGAAAGAAAGAGAATGAATCATCAAATAAAAAGAAGAGCAAGAGAATGTATTAAGAAGGGTTGAGCTGGGCTCTGGTGGCTTATAACTGTAATCCTAGCTAATAAGGAAGATGAGATCTGAGGATTGAGGTTTGAAAGCTAACCCAGGTAAGAAAGTTCATGACACTCTTTATCTCCAATTAACCACCAGAAAATCAGAAACAGAGCTGTGGCTCAAAATGGTCGAGCACTAGCCTTGAGCAAAAAAGCTCAAGGACAGCGCCTAGGCCAAGTTCAAGCCCCACAACCAAACACACACAAACACACACACACACACACACACACCCTCAGAGTTCAAGACAGACAGACACACACACACACACCCTCAGAGTTCAAGCCAACAACAACAACAAAAAAAGAGATAGAAAATTGCCTTCTTTTCCTTATTTTTAATTAAGTAGTTGTACAAGGAGGTTTCAATTCCTGGAGTCAGGTCCAATTCTTGTTTTGATAAGTGTTTTTATCATGAAGGAATATTGATTTATACTACTGTTTTCAGAAAAGGCACTGTATCAGAGAACCCTTTCCAGAAAAATGTACTCACAAATATCTTGGATCATGGTGTCATGAATCACATACTTTCTGCCACAGTATCTTAATAGTACTCCAAATGTATTAGAACTCTGTCTCCACACCCACATCACAACAGTTTCTCTCCATTACATAATATCAGGTGGTATCTATTTATGCCAAACTGCTACACTGGACTGCTAAATGTATCTCCCATAGTATCAATTCTTTGAAGGCTCTGATTCCATGTAATTTCTAACTTTATTTTCCCATAAATCTTGCTACATAATTTTGAAGAACATATATTTCAAGAATGCCTAAATGTTAAGAGTAAAATTGTTCACCTATGTGGCAGAAAAGGATAATAGTCAAGCCAAACATCACTGGAACATAATTTTGGCCTTAAAATTATAGCTACAGGTATCTAGCCAATCTGACAGAAAAACAAAAATGAAAAAGCATGGGTACATTATCTATTTGTAGGGAATAAAAAACAATCATTTGACAATAATATGTAAAATTCATGTTCTAAAACAACCAAAAACACCTCATATCTTCAATGCTCAACATAATCAGGAAGGATTTATAACAGAATTTAATAATGTAATTATATATGGCTTCAAAATGATTACTGATAAGGGGCTGGGAAGGTGGCTCAGTGGTAGAGCACTTGCCTTGCATGCCTGAGGCCCTGGGTTCGATTCCCCAGCACCACATAAGCAAAAAGAAAAAAGCCAGAAGTGGCGCTGTGGCTCAAGTGGTAGAGCGCTAGCCTTGAGCTCAAGAGCTGAGGGACAGCGGCCAGGCCGAGTTCAGGCCCCACAACCGGACCCCCCCCCAAAAAAAAAATGATTACTGATAAGCTATGAGAACAAATGAACATATATACTTTCAGAATTGATCACTAATTATATGTTGAGTAGATCCATACTTACCTTCACATTTTTCAAGAATCTGGACTGTTTCTCCTATTTCTAAAACCAATCCTTGAGGGACAGATCCTCGAAAACTGCATATCACTAGAAAAGTAAGGATAAATATACAATTAGCATTTTTAAATATTCAGGCTCAGAGTCAATTAATTAAACACTAAATTTTCAATATACATATTTTTTATTTTTACTTTTTGGCGGTGGTACCAGGACTTGAACTCAGGGCACCAGGGCTCTTTCTCTTAGCTGTATTTTACACTCAAGGCTGAAGCTCTACCACTTAAACCGCACCTCTACTTCCAGCTTTTTAGCAGTTAATTGAGGATAAAAGTCTCATGAATATTTCTTCCCGGACTGACTTGGAACCCAAATCCTCAGATCTCAGCCTCTAGAGCAGCTAGGAATACAGGCATGAGTCACCAGCACCCAGTATCTCCTTACATCAATCCCTCCTTTGTAATATATCAGCCTCTTTCAATGTATTTTAAAAGGTATATACAGGACAATGAAGCTCATTATGGCAAAATTAATATTCTTGAGTAGTGTGTGCATTATGTATATGTATGAAAACATTTCTGTAAACAGACATTTCATGCCTTTCAATAGGACCTATGTTCACTGTGTCCTCTTTGGGCAAGTATGCATCCATTTCTTTAAAAATATTAGAGGGCTGGGAAGGTGGCTCAGTGGTAGAGCGTTTGCCTTACATGCCTGAGGCCCTGGGTTCGATTCCTCAGCACCACATAAGCAAAAAGAAAAAAGCTGGAAGTGGCGCTGTGGCTCAGTGGTAGAATGCTAGCCTTGAGCTGAAGAGCTGAGGGATAGCGTTCAGGCCCCACGACCGGACCAAAAAATAAATAAATAAATATATTAGAATGGGAGCGTTTTTACCTACTATAAATAGACATTCAAAATCAGATATTTGAGTGAGGAGCTCAAAGGATGGACTAGAGAGTTGCTTTTTAGATATAAAGCATTCCACACCCCAAAAGGCTCATGTATCAAGGGTTTGGAAAAGTGACTGCCTCTTTTTGGAAAGTGTCTGGCTCTTCAAGGTTCTGACTTCATCAATAAATTAATCCACTGATGGATTTGTAATTTTGGAAGGTGATAGAAATATTAGGAAGTGAGGCCTGGTTGAAGAAAATACGTCTCTTGGGTGGATATTCCTTTTTTAAGACTGTGTCGGGGCTGGGAAGGTGGCTCAGTAGTAGAGTGCTTGCCTCATGCTTGAGGCTCTGGGTTCGATCCAGCAGCACCACATAAGCAGAAAAAGCTGGAAGTGGTCCTGTGGCTCAAGTGGTAGAGTGCTAGCCTTAAGCTGAAGAGCTGAGGGACAGTGCCCAAGCCCAGAGTTCAGGCCCCACGACCAACAACAACAAAAAAAAAAAAAAAAAAAAAAGAATGTGTCTTGTTCTATGGCCCTTCTTCTCAATCTCACTTTCTACTTCCTGGCAGTCATAGTATAAAGCAATGTCCTCTGCCACATGCTTCTACTGCCATAACATTCTGCCTCACCTCAAGCCCAAAAGAATAGACCCAGCTGACCTTGACTAAAATTTCTGAAACTGTGAGCTAAAATAGATCCTTTATCCTTTTAAATTGTTTCTCTCAGGCATTTGTCACAGCAATGAAGATCTAATACCTTAGCCTTTGCTAAAATTTGAAAATGAAAAAGTCAAACCCATCGGGGCCTAGTGGTTCATGCCTATAATCTTTGCTACTTGGGAGACAGAGATTGGTTCAAGGCTCACTCAGTCAAAAAATTATTGAGACCCTATTTCAGTTAACAGGTGTAGTGAAGCATGCTAGATCCCAACTACACAAGAGGCCATAGAAGATCATAGTCTGAAAAAATAACTAAGACAAAAAAGAGCTGGAGGTGTGGCTCAAATGGTAGAATATCTCTGTGGCAATCCTAAGGCCTTGAATTCAAACCCTAGTACCAAGCTGGGTGGCAGTGGCTCACATCTAGACACCTAGCTACTCAGAAGCCTGAGAAATTAGGATGGAAGTTCAAAGCCTGGGCAAGATAGTCCCTGGGATTCTTTTTTTTTTTTGTCAGTCGTGGGGCTTGAACTCTGGGCCTGGGCGCTGTCCCTCAGCTCTTCAGCTCAGGGCGAACGCTCTACCACTTGAGCTACAGCGCCACTTCCGGTTTTCTGGCGGTTTATTGGAGATAGGAGTCTCACGGTCTTTCCTGCCCGGGCTGGCTTTGAACCGCGATCCTCAGATCTCAGCCTCCTGAGTAGCTAGGATTACAGGCGTGAGCCACCAGCGCCTGGCTTGTCCCTGGGATTCTTATCTCTATTAACCATTCAAGTGGTAGAGTGCCAGTCTTGAGCAAAAAAGTTCACCCACAGTGCCTAGGCCCTGAGTTCAGGTCCCAGTACCAGCACAAAAGAAAAAAAAAATGTACTATCAAAATCAAACAAAAGGGGCTGGGAAGGTGGCTCAGTGGTAGAGTGCTTGCCTTGCAAGTACCACAAACAAAAAAAGTCAGAAGTGATGCCCTGGCTCAAGTGGAGTGCTAGCCTTGAGCTGAAGAGCTGAAGGACAGAGCCCAGACCCAGAGTTCAAGCCACACGACCAACAAAAAACAAATAAATAAATAAATAATAAAAATGGCCAACCCTTAAAGAAGAACCCATATCCAATGAAGAGAAAGGGAGAAGTCTGGTAATTAATTCAGAAGTGACTACAAGCCTAAATCACATGGAGAATTCGGAGGACAAAACAAAGAAAAATGTAAAGCATTTGGTAACTTCAGTATGAGCTTCCCCTGTTGGGGCCAAGGAACTTAAAGATATATCTTATGCACTTTTTGGTATGCCAAGAGCACAATCCACCCCCCTATACTGGCAGTTGACCAGCACTCCTACCATGATGGTTCTTAACCATTTTAGGTTGTTTAGGGATTTGGTCTGACAGTGACTCATCTGCACAAGCTAACACTAGAGATTTGTCCAAGAGCTATACCCATTACCTGACTTATGGGATTGTAACCCCTCTGTGTAACACCATGATGATAACAATAAAATTAAGTTTTAAAATAATTAGAATAAAAATCCAGTGCACTGCTCAGAAGACTATATCCTTCTCCAGAGGAATCCTATTAAGGAATAAACCTCTCTAAAAACCAGAAGGCATTGAATTCAGTGTCCCTATAGAAATTATGATGAGTTGACTAGGTAAGAGAGGACTACTTGGCTGAAGGGGGGATCTGAAACAAACTCACCAAGATATGTGGGCTCTAAAGAGCACACACTATGATAGAAATAGACTACAAAGTGTAGTGGTGGGTGGTCCGGCTCTCTGTAAATAGGAAACCAATATAACATCAAGAAATAGCCCTATGTGACTGTGCCAAGTGACACAGATTACATGGTTCTCGTAGCATCTTCTCCCACTACAGAACTCAATGTTTGAAAAGCCCCCCACCCTCTGAGCTTTTCAAAGATATGTTCAGTCTAGACTCATCCTGCTCAAAATTATGTCCAAACAGTGCTTCCCACACACCCCCGAAACACCATCAGAAAAAAAAGGAATCGCTGTGCTCCATATTTTCACTGCACAGCTGGCCAAACAGACCAAGAGCTTCAGGAGACAGTAAACACCCGCCCAGTTCAGTCTAAACACCACCCAAATTAGACAGGCAAGAAGAGCCCAGAATGGCAGAATAGTCATTCACCTCACCTCCAAGTATACATCCAAAAGCCTTCCTTAAGAAAACAAGAACTTGACCACCATTCCCTTAACGGACCCAATAAGAGACAGAAGGGGAAAACTGTATATGGCCCTAACCAGTTTTGACTCCTAGACTTTCACAAGAGACATTCGAAACAGACTACACCAGCTGCACAAATGAGAACAGGTGGACTCTAATGTAACATTATCCGATCTGAGTTAGCAGGCAAGGAGGAATTTTTAACCAGCTTTTTATCTACTCTCTTTTTCATTTCTCTTACTTTTCTATACTTAAAGATACATTAATGGGGCTGGGAAGGTGGCTCAGTGGTAGAGCGCTTGCCTTGCATGCATGAGGCCCTGGGTTTGATTCCTCAGCACCACATAAACAAAAAGGAAAAAGCCGGAAGTGGCATTGTGGCTCAAGTGGTAGAGCGCTAGTCTTGAGCTGAAGAGCTGAGGGACAGCGCCCAGGCCCAGAGTTCAGGCCCCATGACTGGACCAAAAAAAAAAAAGATACATTAATTTTTTTCTCATTCCTCGCAACCCCCTTTTTTGTGTGTGATAGGGTCTATGTGTCTCAGGCCCCACCTGGAACTTACTCAAATAGCTCAAGCGGTCCGTGACCTCACAATCCTCTGACCTCCTTCTCCCAAGTACTAAGATCATAGGTATGTGCTGCCATGCCCTACTTTTCCCTCTAATTAGATTTTATCTTGCAAAAGACTGGCCTCTTCTTTCTAATTTTCTCTTATGTTTTTAATCTTCCTTTATTCTCTTTTCCTTTTCTTTTTTACTTCCACTAGTTCTGTCTTTTACGTTTGTAAAAGTATTTTGTATTGTTTCATAAGTATAATGTGCATTGTTTCATCAATTTCTATGAGGACTATAGGACTGAGCTACACAGCAAGTTGAAAATCAACCTTGGCTGATTCACAGTAGTGAAAAACTATCCCAAAAAGGCTTACAAAATAGTTAATTTGTAATGAATGAAACTGGGCAGCAGTGGCTCACTCCTGTAATCCTAGCGACTCAGGAGGCTGAGATCTGAGGATCACAGTTCAGCCAGCCCGGGCAGGAAAAGTCCATGAGACTCATCTCCAATTAAATACCAGAAAGCCAGAAGTGGTGCTGTGGCTCAAGTGGTAGAGCACTTGCTGTGAGCTGAAGAGTTCAGGGATATCACCCAGGCCCAGAGTCCAAGCCCCATGTGTGACAAAATGAAATGAATGGCTGTATAAATATTTTGAGAAGAGAATTCATCCAGGGGGCACTTTTCTCATAGACATGTAAGGAAGTGTTCCCTCCTGTTCAGCCATGGAGGCATTCATACATAGGATGCTACAGATGTGGTTCAAGGGAAAATGTTTGACATCCTTAATCAAGGAAATATAAATCTG